GAGAATAAAACTAGGGGTTCCTTGGGAAATGGAACCCAGCATCTCTCTGGGAAGTTCTAAGGAGCAGCAGCTGGGACAGAGAAATGGACACCTTCTCTTTTTCTTCTAATCATAGCTTGGGATGGAGATAGATGCCCAGAGCTCCTGGCAGCATCCTGATGAGAAGAGACAGCTCATGCCAGTCATGCAGGGAGGACTTCACTTCCTTTGTAAGCTATATACCTCTTGCTGTCAGATGAAAGAGGGGAAGGAGATAAGGAAGAGAGGAAGGATGGAAGTGGGAGGTTGGGAGAGAAAGAAGAAAGAAATTATTATTTCTTGGTTGCATTTAGAGGGCAAGTTTCCAACCCTCATTAGATATACAATATAAGTCTCAGGGTCAGTAAACTGAAGTCCTACTCTTGCCTTTCACCAGTTAGCAACTCTCTCACTCTTAGATCCTTTCTTTGTTCATTAAGCATACTGGACTTCATCTCCAAAGTTCTTTCCAGATCTAAAATTCATACTCTTATGACACTGTGATCAAAGAAAGGGACCATCATCAACATTACTGCATGTCACCCATGTTCAGGGTCCTAGCACAATGCCTTCCACATTCACACCAATCTTCCACCCATTGCTGGAGATTCCATACCTTAAACACCTTTCTCAGGTCCCCAAGACACTTTCCTTGCAGGCATTTGTCTCTTCAGACAAAATGAAAGTTTTCTAGTTGGTCTTCCTGCCTCCTACTTTACAATCCTTCTCTACACTCAGAATGATTTTTCAAAGAACAGGCTAACTCACTTGTCTCAGCCAGCATGAAGATCCCCAGGACACCTCTGCATCACTCTTCACCAGTTCTCAAGACCCTGGACTATCTCCATGTGTGTTCAGGGATTTCAAGAAGGCTGCATACAAGAGTTCTAGAATAGGTCACATGAACCACCACAATGCAGTTGACAGACTTGGACCCCTACTGGCACCCACTGTTGACAGACCTCCCAACCCTAACCTGCTGCTTTCATATCCTTTGATAGTCCGTGATCAATCTGTCACTGCAGAAAATATTTTATATTGGGCTCAAGGGTACGGAAAACATAATCACAGAAGAAATAGTTACCTGAACTAAATATCAATTATCCCCAAACATAGGTCACATTGGTCATTGTCTCTACTAGCACTCTTACCTTTCCCCTAATGAGTACAAGTATCCCAAATTAAAGGCATGTTGGCTACACTGTACTTGTACTTTCTTATTCCAAGAATAAATGGAACAAAATTGATCTACCTGAGTAGATGTGCAGAAAGAAGTTTCCCAAGTTCAATCATTGTTAGTGTTGAACTTCCTTCACCTTGATATTTGGAAGAGCAGCTATTTTTCATGAACACTACTTAGGTTCCAAAGCTGCTTGGAAGCTCCAAGTCCTATCTCTCCTAAAGTTGGAGTATCTGGGCCTCAAAAAGGCAATCTAAGGCCAAAGCAAATAACCCTCATTCCAAGATTACGAAGACAATATCTCTGGATTCTTACCATTTCTAGACCTACCTCAGAAACAGATCTGAAAAGAAGACAAGAAGAGTCAGAGCTGAGTTTTTAGGTGTACCTATAAAAAGGTTAAATATTGCCTGTGACTGTTCAGAACTCGTGGCTTAAGATGATAGTGTGGAGGACAGAGAGAAGATAGTGGCTAACTCTTGACCCTTAGTAATTCCCAAAGTGGCTGCTGAAAACGCCCCTGTTCCTCTACTTTGTATCACGTAGATTTACCAGAACTGACATCAAAGCTCAGGGCAAATGCTGTGACTGACAGAGCAGTAGAGCCTGAATGGTGGGGATGAGAGACTAGAGATAGGACTATAACTCTAACAGGCGTGGGAGATTGCAGAATATGTCCCAAGGCCTGGTCACTGTTGATTTCCTAGTGTGTCATGTGCAGACAGTCATCACTGTTACTACTCTGGACATGAGCACATTGAGAGTTTTCCAGGGAACTGAATGGAACTGGCTTTCCAGGGACAGCTGTATTTGCCAGGAAAATGGAAAGGGGGAAAGGAAAGGCAACACTAACTAGAACAGGAAATGGCACCGAACAAAGGACACAGAGGCTAGATCCACCTTATCCTCTAATTTGGAGTTCTAATTCTCAACTTCAAACGTTTTACATTTTTCACCAATTGATCAACACCTTCTTTAGTCAGACACCTTAGATCTCTGCCTTGTTAACAAAAGGTGCCAGAAAGTGCTTCTCATTTCTGTTATTTATTGTTCTCAGATGAGAATTCTCACAGCAGGAGGGATCCCAAAATAATGAACCACCACCATCCAAGCTAATATGGTGCACCCATCAAATGACTCGGTCCAAGTCCTCAAGCTAGCTCCCAGGTGGACCAGGGTTCTCTCTATCTGAGCTGGGGAAGGGTCTCTGCATAACTGGAACCATATCACAATGCACCTTTAGAATAGTTACTGGGGGGAAAAGAGGTCTGAAAGGTTTCAGAAGTGAAAGGGCAGCTCAGTTCGTGTCCCATGATCTTAGTAACAAGGCTTGTGGCTCTGGCAGATGATGAGCAGTCTGCCTGCATCATCAAAGCAGATTTTTTCAGTTTATTGCAACAATGTGACGTCATGGAAAAAAACAAGGGCTGAGAAGTCAGATGGTTCTCTGATGACCCCAGTGGCCTCTTGTACTCTTTCCCAGTGTAGGTTCTACAATTAATCGAGCTTGATGACAAATAAACATGAACTATGGATAGATATCAATATGGGAATCACAAACTCAAATTTCTGAGACAAGGAAGGATTGTAAATGTGTGGGGCTGGCCTACTAGAGACAAAACAGGAGCCTCATGTTGGTCCAAAGGAAGCAAGCAGGGCTCACTGTGTCTCTGGAAGAATTCAAAGACCCTCCCATTACCCTGCTGCATGCATTGCTTATCTGGACTGAATGAATCTGGGTATGTCATGGAGTCATCTGTGAGTCGACTCATTTACATCAGCACCCTTATTTTACCTAAAGCACATGTCCCAGTCATCCTCCTTTTAGGTTAAAGTAGTTATAGTTCACTGTACTGAAAACCCCTTGGTATGGTTTGGATATGGTTGAATGTGCTCCCTAGAGGTTCACATGCTGGAAGTGTGGCCCCCAGCATGGTGGTGTTGAGTGGTGGAACCTGTAAGAGGTAGAGTCCAGTGGAAGGTGACTGAATCATGAATATATCATTCTCTGAAGAGATTAATACTAGTCTCAAAACATGAGTTACATCTCAGGAGACCAAGCTATTATAAAAAGAGCAGATCCCTCTGCTCTGCTCTGGCTTCCAGTCTCACCCTGTGTGCTCTCCCTTTCATGATATATATCCTCTTACTAAAATACCATGACCAAGGAGCCCTCACTGGAAGCTGAACAGATTGTCTCACCAATCTTGGACTTTGGTCTCCAAAACTATGAACTTAAAAAAACATTTTTTATGTGTTACATAGCCTCACATGTTTTGTAATAGCAGCAGAAAATGGACTAATATGGCTCTGTTGCTCAATTTTTTGAGGGGTGGGGTGGGTTTAGTTCTACAGCTTATTCCAAGGCATAAGTCAGACTACACTCAGCCAACTTCCTTATACCACCACCTCCAGAGAGCACATCCTATCCTAATTTTATGTGTCACCTCTTTTGTATAACTCTTTCCCTTGCATCTCCTTCTATTCTCACCCTGCCCTATCCTCTCAAATCCTGTAATTACTACTGATGATAATGCTCTACCCCAGCCCCTCCACTAGTTTCCATATGGGGAACTCAGCTATATCAGAGAGGCCACCAAAGCCCAGTTTCCTGAGAGCCTCCATCAGAGGTCTAGCTCCTATTTGGAGAAAAAGGCCCAAGTTGATTTCATTCACGTACATCCTCTTTCTCCCTGGTCAACAAAGAATCAGTCATCGTAAGGGTTGATACCAAGTGGGCACTGAAGGAAGCTCTCTGACCAAAACCTTGACTGAGGCAGAAACCTCTTCTCTGAGAACTGTTTATTCAGCAGGTAAAGAATTCATAACTTGTGGCTTTTCCCAGGTTTTCAGTTGAAAACTAAAATATATAAGGACCCTAAACTGTTTCCCAGAAGTCTCCCGGTGAGTGGTGGTGGCACCACTGAGGTTCAAGGCCCAGTACCTTCCTCATGGCCAGTCAGGCTCCTTCACCACTAGACCACACAGTCCATGCTCAGCCAGTACTCAGCAACCTCAAGCTCTAGGCCTGATGAAATAGATTTTCCAAAAACAGAGCTGTCTTCGTGAACAATTCAGCAAAATTTCTCTCTCCAGCTGTAAGTTGGTCTTCATGTTGCAAATATTGGTGTTAATTAAAAACATCCACCTTCTACAGTTTCGACAACAAGGAAAAAGCACCACGCAGAATGCATTCCTAAGCACTCCTCCTCAAAGCACTTATAAATGTGTTTTATTTAGGATACGTTTGCTAGGGGTTCTGACAGATATTATCATTCCCAATTTTTGGTCCCAGTGACAGAGTTGGGGCTCCGGGGGTGGGTGAAATACCACAGAATAGTTATTGTCAGAAGAAACAAAAATACTGTTCCTGGTGTACAGCGTCTACAAGGTTCAGCTTTCTGCATTAGTAACAGGAACTGTACCTACCTGAAATTAAATGTATATCCGTTGAATCACTAAAAATTTTCTTCAACAGACTCTTAGGCTTTCTGACAAGAACAAATGATGTATGCCAAGGCCATACACATTCCAAAAGGGACAATCCAATATATTCAATAACTGAGATAAGATTACTTCCCTATATTTCTGTTACAGCCCAGCCTTTTATTAGGCAATCTTCATCTAAAATAGTCCAGAGCATAGGGGATCACATAGAATGAACTTCATTTCTTCTGGTGCTTGTATCTGGTTGGTGTATTTGTTCTGCTTCACTACATAATTCAGACAGGAAAGAATCAAGCCAAAGCCACATCATTATGAATGAATTTCTTCATCTTTAATTTCACACAGTTTAAAATACAATATGAAATCAGGCTACAGTATATAAAAAACTCTCCAGCAAAATGATGTGCCAGCATCAGCTACTAAAATAAACAAACAAAAACTCCCTGGTAAGAAAATTTTTTTTTTGCATTTAAAAAAAAAACACATAGACACTTACATCGCTACATCTCTAAGCTACCTCAGTTCTGATTTTTAAAAAGCACCTGCTTTTCCTTTTTATCTCACTTTAAAATTTTCAGCTTTTAAAAAATATAAATTATATGAAAATACAAGTTGGAAAATAGTCAAACACAATATAACATCTTTTCACTCCAATACTTCTCAGCTTTAAAAAAAAAGTATTCTTTAAAAAAAAGTTCAATAACTGAGGCAGTGTTCCTGATAGAGATAATTTCATTTTAATATATATATGTCATATATGTATATGTATACATATATTTATGGTTCCTTGACACTTCTTTGGAATGTAGGTAAAAATTCAACAAATTTATATAGACCCCAACAGAGAAAGCAGCATGCACAGCATGACTAGAAGAGAGAAAATGTATTTTTCCCCATGAAGGTTAGGCAGGTTAATGCTCTAAAACCCAGAGTGCTCATCTCCAAAGTGAGGAAGGGCACATCTGATCTTGGAATCCTACCACTAATCCCCAAGGCCACAATCAGGCTCTGTGTAGGGAAGTCCCTTCCCTGAATGCAGAAAGGAACCCAAGTGACTCTGGGCCCAAAAGCCAAAACCCATATATAGATTAAGGCATCTCCAGGAAAATAATATGGGTTTCACCCAGCTAGACCTGATTTGCCTGTCTTTCCTCGGAAGTTAACATGTGTTTTTAAAAAACATAAATGCAATGATGCTGCTACATTTCCAGTGTATAAACCACCCACCACTCTTCTTGGGATGGTCTCTGGCCTTTGGACAAAAGGGGAAAAAGCATATGGCCAGATGGACAAAGGTGTCTGCACTAATAATACACTAGCTACAAATCCTGAAAATGGTGGACATGGGGAGAAAGGGCACCTTAGCGAAAGAGTGGGCTGAGGAGTACGAGGAGGCACTTTCTTACACCTATCTGCTACTGGAATTGCAGGCAATGGATAAACTCACAGAAGGGGAGTTTTCAGCACACTTTTCTTAGGAAAGGCTGATGACTCGAGATGGCGATTTCATGCCTGGTTGTAAACAGTAAGCAATGACCGATACCCGGCCTTGATTCTGCTCTCGCCCAAAACTAAAATATGAAAAAACTTCACTAGAAAGTTCAGGTATTATTTCAGCTGCAGTTTTCCATGTTCACAAACTACACGCACACGCGCACGTGCACACACACACACACACACACACACAATCTCTCTACATCTCTCTGCCAGTGCCCTACAAAGATCACACAACCTAAGAAAAAAACAATGTCATCCAAACAGTTCCACCTAACACTCCCTGAGCAGCTCCTAAAATACTTGGAGAGCTTCATTAAGGCACCTGCATCTGTAAGATCAAACTACACAGCTGAGATCACTCTGTGTTCGCTTTACATGTATATGTGCCAATTGGTCCATATGGGGACCCTTGGGGATCACAGAGCTAGTTCCTGATAAGCTAATCCTGAAAGGGGATCTGGGAGTCAGCAGCTCACCAGGAAGATATGCTACAAGGTAGTTAGCACTTCCAGTTTCTCAGCTAAATCCCCAAAAGAGCCAGCCCTGAGAAATCCATCTGCACTGTTTCTTCCCCTCGCTCACGGTCATGGCAGTCCTATCAGCTTCATAACTGGCAGTGTCTTCAGTGGGAGGAATTCTAAGTACATTAGCATACTTCCTCACTATTTACGTGTTGGGGTTTGCCCCAAACATCATTTTTAGATTTGTTTCACAACCAGCATAAAGGTAACTCCCTTTCTTAACTGTATTTAAACTGGGGGAAGCTAAAAAATATATCCAAATATCATGGATCACCTTCTTTTAATCACTCAAGCTCCTTTCCTTATTTCCTCTGCCTTCAAGTCATTCCTCCCTTCTCCCATTAACCTTCACTCACCTGCTTCCAGGGCAACAGATCTAAGCACGAGGCCCAGTGTCATCTGCACCACCTCCTCTGCATGCGAATCTCATCTGACATCCTATCCTCCTAGCTGCAATTCTGCAAAGGAAAGCCTTTGCACATCTCTTCCCCAAATCAGCCAAGTCACACTGTGCTGAAATGCTTCCTAAGTGTCTATGGCTGCTAAGATCCAGCAAGTCTACAATCTTCAGTTCCATGGTGTTTGACATCACTCGGTTATCTGTCAAAAAGCTTATGTTTCTCTCCACTGAACACTGGGGATGGGGGCAATAAATGTGGGATGCTGGAAGAATAAGGTATAAAAGAAATTGGAAAAGAGTGTTAGTTTGGAACAACACGCATTCAGGATATGCTTCTTAAGACCTGAGGGGGTAATGCCCATGCACACAGCTTTAATTCCAAGTCATCTATGTTACAGGTAGAGAATTATCAAGAACCAAGTTAATCTTCCTCCTTCAATTTCCTTTCCATGGCTTCAGCAGTGCTCCTACATTGACCATAGTCCAAACCCAGGGCTGCCAAAATACATTCAGTTCACAGACCTAATGTTTTGTAGCTCAACATTAAGTCTAAACCCCGAGAATCCATAAATGACAAATAAGTAAAGGGCTGTGACAATATTTTAAAAATTATAGATGAAATGCACACACACACACGGTTCCCCTGTGCCCAAATCAGCATTAATATTTCCTTCATATATAAGTCACATGAATTTGGGATCCCTGATCTCAGTGGCTGAGCTTTGCTTTTCCAATGGGGTCTATATAAACAGTTTTCTTTCAATGTGACAGAATCCTCAGCCAGCAAATAAGAACAAACTTGCATGATACTGCAATACTGAGACCACCTTAGAGCTTAAGACAATTTCTTGAGAAAAAAAAAATACTGGCACAAAATTTCATAAAATAAATTTTAACACAAAAACAGTTTGGACCCCTCCCCATGAAAGTCCATCTTTTTTCTTTCGGAAAGCAGAGTGAAAGGTACATGATCCTTGGTTTTTTTAGTCTGTCCCCCAAAGAAAATGTTCTTATCCCACCCTCCTCATTTTTCCCTCCCAGATTTAAAAACAACAGTAAATTAATTGCCTTTCACCAGTCTTGGATTCTTGATGTAACAATTTCTCTTCCAAATGGGTCCATAACTCAAGATGTGTTTCTGTCATGGATGATTTTACAAAATGATTAGACACATTAGTTGTTTCTTTCCTTAAACCAGATCCTTCAAGCTTCTAAGACCTTTACCTCTCTTCTGAAAATCTGCTGAAGAACTCTGGCCCCTCCACCCCACAAATCCTGGCTTTCCCTTTCAACCACGCACAATGGATTACAGCTGCAGCTCCCTTAGCTCCCACCCCTGAATGTAAAAAATGAGTTCTGGAAAATAAAAAATAGAATAACAATTAAAAATTAAGAGTCCGACCAACACAGTTGTTCTCTGAAAGGTCGCAGAAGGGTAGCCCCGGCCCTTCCATGTCCATCACTCATCAGTATCTGGCTTGACATCCAACATGGCATGGAGCTCCTCGGGGGTGTAGCCCAGCAGGCTCTGCAGGTCACAGACAAAGCGGTACACATAGCGTTTACCCGCCGTCTTGTGGATAATATTTTTGTCATAATAGTAGCGTAGACCGCGGCTCAGTTTCTCATAATTCATCTTAGGCTTGTTTTTCCTCTTTCCCCATCTTCTTGCCACCTGCAATTTTAAAAATTTTAAAGGGGTGGGTAAAAATCTATAGGTTATCTTCCAAATATGTATTTATACGTCAATATTGATTTATGATGGACTATCATGTTCAAATAAGAGAATCAGATCTATGCACCTACAGAAAGTACTTTCTGAACTATCTCCTCTATATTCTATTTTTCTTAAAATGCTTTAATTTTTAATTATCACACAGCAATTACATACATTTATGGGGTACAGTGTGACATTTCAACAGGTTTGCATAACATGTAATGATTAACTGGCATGTATATCACCTTGGCTATGTATCATTACTTTCTGCAGGACCCTTCGAAATTCTCTGCGCTAGATACTCTGAAATATTCAATTAGTTGTCAACCATCCTGATATGCTGTGCACACAGCAATCTTCTCTCTTGGGCTCATTCCCGAGCTCTCTCCATTCCCATTCCCACACTCTTCTCAAGCTCTTAGAACCTCTGCTCTTTTGCCTACTTCTATGAGACCTGCTTTTTAGTTTTCATATTTAAGTGACAACATGCAGCATCTATCTCTCTGTGCCTGATTTTTTCACTTAATGCAATGGTCTTCAGTTATACACATTTTGCCATGTTGCTACAAATGACAGAATTTGTGAATTCTGGTTTTTGAAGGTTGGGCAGGGGTGGCAGTTAAGTTAGTTATTTAAACTGATGAAATACAGCGACCCTAAACTTCTATGGAATGAGGGAGGTTAAGAATTTGGTTCCTAGAAAAAAGGAGTAGCTACACTATCTACTTTCTTCTTTCCTATTATCTGTAGTAGAATTTTCTTGCTTTGAAAGCCTGCAATGTGGAGAAGAGCTAAGCTGCAATTGTACCTGCTTGTCACATCAAAAGGAAGCATTCTTTCTATACATGGTACAAATATTTTCTCATGTCTGCCAGAACAGAGATCTTGTCTGCCTTGTCCATTGTTTTGTATCATCAGAATCAGTCATGGCACAGATTAACCACTCACTAATCATGGCACAGATCAACCACTCAATGAGCATTTGTGTAATGAAAGAATGAATGGATGAACAAATTGCCCCAAACTTCCAAGGCCTCTTGAACTGATCCCATGCACAGGCACGAAGACACAGCCTTAGACAAGTGCCAAGTCTGAGAAAGCAACTTCACTGATGAAGGGCCTACCATATGCTAAGCACTTCATGTGCTTATCAATTAACCTTAGAAAACAAATGGGAAGTGTGCATATTTTGTTTTCCAAAAGATGAAACTAAGGCTCTGGCAGGCTGTACAACTTACTCAAGGTCACACAAGTAGTGAGCAGTAGAGGTGGGATTGCAGTCCTACCAAATGTCACTCAGGCCCTGGTCCAGGATAAGTTTTCTCTCACCCTCCCTCAACTCTTAAATTGCTCCTTTCTTACCTCATCTGGGTCAGAAAGTTTGAATTCCCAGCCATCTCCTGTCCAGCTGATAAAAGACTGACAGGATTTATCAGTGAGTAATTCCAGAAGAAACTGCCACAGCTGGATTGGTCCACTGCCTGGAAACACAAGGTGTTGTGAATCATTACACCACATATTCAGTGCTCTCAGCAACTAATCCCATTATACAGCATCTCTTCCCGAACCCTGCCTCCCGTCTCAGACTGTAGTCAGGAGAAAATAAGGTCTACATGTAGCACAAATGCTGGCAAGAGTACTCTGAGCTCAGACAGACTAAAACAAAGGACTTTCTACCACACATGCACAAAAAACATGTAAGATAAAATATCCATTGCTTTATTTTTATTGACTGAAGAGTCAGTCCATTTTCACTGCTAAGCAAACTCTAGAAAGAAAATACAGGGTCTTTCTTTGAAATATTCTAAGGAAGCATAAACTTATGCACCTTCAAAAAGTAAGCCACTATGTTTGCCTGAAGAAGAAAAGCATGAATTAAGGGATGTTTTGCTGATTCCAAACAGAAATCAGAACTCATCAGAACTCAGAGCATTCCTCTGTAGTAGGGAGCCTCTGGCATCTGATTTGTGAATGGGAAGGGAAACAGATGCCACGCCGTCACAGTATTCCTTACCACCATCGCTGCAAGTGCCAGGCCATGTATAGGCAAGCACCCTAACAGAGCAAGGAAGGCATCCTGACTACATGGGATCAATCTGACACCCAAGGAAGCCTGGTGGTTAGGTAACAACTGGTCCAGACTGTCCTTATAGGTCCAATGTGTACGTACACACACACACACACACACACACACACACACACACACACACTATTCTCTTGACTTAGCATCAACATTCTCAAGATCTTAGCTCTAAAGGAGGCCTGGCGTACCCCACCAGTCATTTTATCCTATGTTAAAGGGTTTATACCACATCATCTCCTCTTAGTAGACCTTTCTATTCTAGATGATAGAGCCACCAGCAGCTCCTATGTAATTTGTGGGTTTAGCTGGAGAGGCTAACATGGGTTTGATAGTGCGTGCGTGGTTCATTACCTGTCTACACTGTATCCTATGACACCATCTCACACACCATCTGAGGACAGGACTGGGAATGACCCACCCACCATTTGAAGCCTGGGATGCTCCATCTCATAAGACCTGACTTTCTAAGGCTCTAATCTTTAGCCTTAGAACTTTCCAGTACATTTGATCCAAAGTAAACTGAGATTCCACAGGAGACAAGCTTTAAGATCCTCTCCATCTAAAAGAGAAGCTTCCTTTATGCTCTATATGGCTAGTCTCTTGTATATCTTACACTTCTTTAAGGTGTATTTGCCTACATCATTCTGCTTGCTCCTAAAATCCTCTCCCCACTCAAATACTCTGAGCTGGGCACAGAGTATTAACTGGGTATGAGCTGAACTGGGTACAGCAGCAGCAAAAGGAGCTCAAGAAAGTAATGAGGCTTTGGTTCAGGTCAGACTCTAAGCACCAAAGCAGCTTTCACTGAGCCTATGATGAGGAAACAGTTACTGACCTGTATGGTCAGCCAAGAGCCTACAGAAGCCTTCTTCCAGCAAATGACTTTCTAATGGTGGTTTCCAGTGCCCTCCCCTCTCTCAGCACACCTGAGCCAAATATGGAATAAGAGCTATCTCTGCCTCATCTTTTTTTTTTTTTTTCGGGGACTGGGATTGAACTCAAGTCCTTGCCCTTGCGAGGCAGGCCAATGAACCGCTCAGCTAAATCCCCAGACCTCTGCCTCATCTTTCTGAGAATACACCATTAGCTCTTTAAAGCCATTATGCCAGAAACTCCTTGCACATACCTAACAATAAAAGGATTCGGCAAATATCTCCAAACTAAAGCAACATTCGAGGAACCAGTCCAGAGGGGTGCAATGGTAAATCTTCACTTCTTGTCTGTCTACCCATCGTTAAAAAGCCAGTTAGTTTACAACTCAGGTTTCTCAAAAATTAAGTCAGCAGCTACTGGACTCAAAGCACCAAACATAGCATTTTATGAAGAATCCTTGGAGAGGCCATTCTAATGGGCCCAGAAGGAAAGAAAGCAAATTGCTCTGAAGAAATGCACTTTGAAGAGTCCCTGCAACATTACAGGTTTCCTGATGAAGTTCACGGGGACTGAAAGCAACAGGATCCATAAAGATAAACAAACACAAAAAAAAACAGCTACCCTGAAGTTCTACAAAGTCAACACTTCAAGCCTTGGATGTGTCCGGGGGAGGAGGCTGTTTTACGACCTCTGACAGAGAAGGAAACTAACAGGAGTCATGCCTCATTGTGCACCTGCCACACACCAGACTCAATGACACTTTAAGGCCACATCATGATTCCTCACATTAAATCTAGGGGTTTATACTGTTGGTATTCTTATTTGTTTTCACCACTTTATAACAGAGGAAGCTGGTACACTACATGGCTGTCCAACTTGTACAAGATCAGAAGTAGGGTAGCTGGGACTGGGATCCAGCCAGTCCAGCCCCAAACTTCTCATTTCAACAATACCTTACCCCAAGACAAGATCAGACTAAAAGCCTGGCATCTGAACTGCTTGCCCAGTTCCAATGGCTAAAAGGATTTGGCTTTTAAAGTCTATCATCTCTTCCTACTTCTCGCACTGGCCTCAGGGCACTAGATAGCTCCTCTTGGCTTCAGCAGCCACCCACACAGGTAATATTCCCAGCCCTGGTGGTGAAGTCCTCTAGTGATGGCTAGGTTATGCTATGCCATTATTTCCCTCTCCCATTAATTGTTCTAGAACCTCTCTCACTGTCTTAAAAGTCTCTGGGGCCTAATTTATCTGGCTAAGGAAAGGGATGGGAAGATGGAGAAGTTCTAGGCATTGATAGAAGCAGCAGGCACATGCAAGCACTGGGGAGGAAATTCAAGGGACAGCACAGTCTCTGCCTTCAGACTTCCAGCCACAGTTAGGCAAAGAGGACTTCATTCATACACAGGCACCAGCTCAGACCAGAGAACCTCAGAGGGAATTATTATTGCTCTTTTCCCCTAGCACCATTTCCTGAATTGAAATGTCAAACAGTCCTTTGCTTCAGCCCTTTCTCTGTGTGTATCAAACAACTGAAGTCTATGAATACGGCCCGGGGACAGGGTGAGTCCTCTCTCGCTAAGCTCATTACTGTGAGCTTTCCTATGTGCAGAGGAACATTAAAAAACATTAAACTTGGACACTGGAAACACCAGTCTTTGGTACTGTGTTCTCAAACTCTTTTTTTCAATAACAAGAAAGGGAAGAGGGGCGGGGACAAATAGGAAAAGCTGATGCCTTGGGAAAGCAGAGGAAGTTGAAAGGGAAGAAACAACTCTGGTTAGCTTCATAGCCAGGAAGGCCCACACAGTAGCACTGTCAGCTCAACTCCCCTTCCCAGATGCTACAGAGGACTCCTTCGAGTGCAGCTGGCTGACAGGCACATATAGTGTCCTCACCCATAAGGGGGCCCACTCGCACCGCAGATGACAGGACCCCATAGTCCTCCTGAATCATCCTCTCTGGTGCCTTTTCCCTGACTTGTAAAATTGCCCTTCAGTTGTGGGGAGCAACAGAAATGGGAAAGGGATAGAGTTGTTCTCCCGCTACAAATGCTGAGCCCTGCAAGAGCTCTGGCTTCAGAGGGCACTGGTTCCCTGGAGTGTCTCACACAGGAGCTGTTTCTGCAGCCCACATCACCCTCGCTTTGGGTGTTGCGGGGGAGTGAATCAGGGCCTCTTGGAAGCAGCTCCGGGGTCACAGTGCACCCTAATTCCACTTATCTATGAGCCCCATCTACAACTATACCCCAGACTGGGAGAAACAATGAATGGGACTCATACTCCCACCTACCACATAACCCACACTGAGCACTTCTCTTATGCCTGGAGCAGATGTGTTCGAGTAGTATGGCTGCAGAGCCCTAGTCCTTGCCTTTGCTCCACTGCACTCTGCAATGGAAGCCCCTTCCTCCATTCTCCTTCAGCATCCGAGCCCCTACATCCAGCCTATCCACCTACCTAGATGAACTGTGGTCCCAGTGACCTCCGTCCCCCCAGGGGCAGAGACCAATACCAAGAATAGCACCAGTCATGGGAAAAGGGAGCACACATGTTGAATGTGACTCACAATGGTGTCCCTGTCTGGGGCCCCAGGCAGTCAACAGCACCCTTCACCACACTGGCCTGCGGTGTCACACATCAGGAATCCAGCGGCATCACTGGGAAACTATGCTTCTCAAGTGGTGCTCTGAGCCACAACAACAGAGGGGTCCCTGTTAGGAGGAGGTCTCTTTCCAAGCCGGTGGGGGGGCACCCCACACACAGGCCTCATCTCCCATCCTGCTGAGCCTCCACACCCGCTGCACTGTCCCCACCACCCACTTGCCTGCCTGCCTGCCTCCCTGGCTGCAGCTGGGAAATTTCCTCTGGGTGCTTTGTCTATGGGATGGGAGGGTAATTCTGACTACAGCTCTGATGGTCTTGGTTTAAAGAACATGATACTGCCTCGGAAGAAGAAATAATCAAGTGGGTACATGGAGCATTCAGACAGCCGAGCAGGTTACCCTGCAAAAGTTTCCCTCCAGGGGGGACCTTCTAGACACTACAAACCAGACAAAAATCTTTCTCTTTGGGGGGGTGTGCAAGGGGAAAGTTACACCTTCAGATAAATTCTTGCTCATTGTGTTCATATTTTAAGTCTCTTCTCCTTTGGAAACTGCACAGTCTATCATCTGTCTCAATAAGGGCTGGCTATTAAAACTTCTCCATTGTTTTGGTCCCTTACCCTGAGACTAAGAACTGAGCGATTTAATATAATATAGTGCTGGGCTAGGACAAAACTGTTGTAAGTTCTTTTTTCTTTTTTTTTTCCTGTGTTGAACCCTAACACATGCTAGAAGCTCTAGCAGTGAGTTACATTCTCAGCCCTTTTATTTTGAGGCAGGGCCTCCTGTAAGTCATCCAGGCTGGCCTTGAGCTTATGATCATTCTGCCTCACCCTCCTGAGTTGTTGGGATTACAGGTGTGTGCCACTACATGAAGCTCTCTTAAGATGTTCATCTGAAATGAACAGACATTTCTCAGAATA